GACATATGAGGAAATGTACAAGAGATTAGACACTAAAGAAGGACAAAATGACATCTTCAGGCTTGCAAAATTTAGGGAGAATAGGAAAAAGGATCTAGGTAGCATTAGGTTTATTAAAGACAACAATGCTGTTCTTTTAGTGAAAGATCATGATATTAAGAGGGTTTGAGGTAGTTACTTCTTTAGCTTATTTAATAACGATGCCTCTCCCTATAGAGATAATATCGTTGATGGGTCAGCCGACCATCATACTAAGGCCAATGACTGCCCTACAAGTAGGATTGGGATTGAGGAAGTCAAAATGACCCTTAGAAAGATGGGGAGGGACAAAGCTGTTGGTCCAGATAAAATTCCTATCACTGTGTGGTTGACCCTAGGAGAAGAGGGAGTTAAGTGGTTGACAAACATTTTTAATATTATTTTAGAGACTGCCAAGATGCTAGAGGAGTGAAGAGAGTCTACGGTGATACCAATCTATAAGAATAAAGGAGATCCCAAACGTTGTGGTAACTACATAGGTATTAAACTACACAGTTATACCATGAAGCTATGGAAAAGGGTGATAGAGGCTAGGTTGAGACAGGTTACTAGGGTTTCAAAAAACTAATTTGGCTTTATGCCAGACAGGTCTACTACGGAGGCGATTCATCTACTTCGACGGCTTATGGAGAAATATAGGGATAAAAAATAGAGATCTTCACATGGTATTCATTGACCTTGAGAAGGCGTATGATAGCGTACCCCGCGATACGATATGGAAGACCTTGGAAACGAGACGAATCCTAACTGCTTATATATGGGCGATTCGTGATATGTACTGTAGATCTACTACTTACGACAGGATTACAGTTGGCGACACCGAGGCATTCCCGGTGGAAATCAAACTCCACCAGGGGTCGGCTCTAATGTAACACCCCAACCCGTACCCGACCCGAATACGAGTCTGAGGTATCACATTGACTTTTCAAACTTTGACTCTTTTGAAAACAGAGAAATTTAAAACTTTGTTTAAAGCAAAATATGTTAATTTACATAAAAATGACCACAAAATACAAACTCCATCAGAGTACTCGTAATTAATGACTTATTACATGCCAACACTCTATACACACCAAAATACATACTTTGTCAATTACTTCTGATATGATCTTCTAGTAATAATACTGTCCTTGTCACTTCTATTCTTGCTCTTCTCGTTTCTTGGTACCTACGTGTAAATCACTTACACGCTAAGTCATAGACTTAGTGAGGCAATAAATAAACATATAATAGTAGATTCATGAGTATGCATTCATACCATTCGATCATGACCTTTCAATATGCATGTACATATTTCATATGACATATATATATAACTATGTCATTCACACATACAACTTATCTTTTTGCATCACTTTCACTTTAATTTATCTTTCAATTGTATTGCCCATGTATATTATTGAGAATAGAGGTATGTGAGTACATTGAGGTTGTGCACACATATGCTGTCACCACAGCTCGTATAAATTGTGTCCCAAAGGACCTATCATCCCGAAGGATGTCATCTGTGTCCCGAAAGACCTGTCATCCCGAATGATGTAATCTGTGTCCCATAGGACCTATCATATGTCTTATAGGACATATGTAACCCTCGACTCCTGGCATGCCAACTATACCACTAGCTCTCATATCACATAACATGGGCATTATCATTTATTATTGTTCACATCACTTATATCATTCTTGTATGATCTCATAGATCCCCTTTCATATAACCCATTTCACATAGGTTTATATCATATCACATGTATTATATGTACATGTAATCATGTAGATCATATCATATAGCTTATATCATTTCTCATGTAAACACATATATTATATCTTGCTCACATATGAATGTATTCACATATATTAATTTCACGTATCTCATATTTTATTCTCATATGTTCACATCAATCATGTCACATAAAATAACATAAGACACATATGCCCACTTTCATGTACTCATGCACACATAATATCCATATCAATCACATGCTTGTGCTTATGGAATTATGCATTCAAACATGGAAATATACTTATCAAAAATACTTCCCAATGATGTATAAAACATCCATATATAATGTTTTGCATGCATCACAAATCAAATAACATTTTAGGAGTCAATTCTTACCATAGTAACTCCGTCACTAGCTCATCGCAAGCCAATGTTCGTTCAATAATATAAGTACAATTAAAATTGCACTCACCTTAGCCTTGTTTGATTTGAATCAATTTTAATCCTTTGATTATTCCAGAACTTGTTTAGGCTCAATATCTACATAAATATAACATTTCAAAACAACTATCAGAAGCCTAAACCTTAACCTTGATGTTAACAACTTAAGCCAGATTATTAAACCAAATTTCATTTTTCCTTTAGGGGGAATCGATACCCCCTGAACATACTGGAAATTTTTCGTTCAAGAAGGGGAATCGATTCCCATTCATAGGGTATTGGTTCCCTATGCCCAGAAATTGTATTTTAAGCCCGAAAATCATCAATTCTTCACCCAATTCTTCTATTTTAAACCCCTATCATGTCATTATACTCAACTACCATTACTTAAACCAACTTATATCCATGAAAACCATCCATAAACTCAAAATTCTATCTTTCATATGTAATTCAAGAATCATACTCAAATTTCAATATGTTCTAAATACAATTCTAACACTTCATATTCCTTAATTAACATGATGACAAGTCAAATTTAACTTCAAATTCAACTTATCAACTCTTTCCCATAATTTCATATAAAAAGTCATTTTCTTAAATCTATTATAACTTCTTCATCTTTTGATTATAAGACAACTTAAGCTTTCCTTAAGCTTAGTTATCATCTAATGATCAAAACCTAACATTTAATTTAACAAATAATCAACAAATCAGAAAACCCTTACCTTTGCCTAGCTTCCACGGTTGGGAGAAGAAGAAAGAAAGAAGAAATAGTTTTCAGATAACTCTTTCCCCACCCCCACGTGATTCATTCATTTTATTGGAGAAAAAATATCTTTCATGCTAAATAACCATTTTGCCCTTTAATTCTTTGGATAATTACTATAAACTTTTAGGAAATATTTTCGAACAAATCATTGAACTATTCAATCATCTTACTTTAATCACCAAATTCTGAAACTTTACAATTTAATCACTAACCCGTATTTTGGGATGTTACATCTAAGCCCTTACATCTTCGCCTTGATTATGGACGACATCTTTTATGCAACACCAGACGATATTCCATGGTGTATGCTTTTCGCTGACGACATTGTCCTAGTTGCTGAAACAAAAACTGAGCTGAATAGTAGACTGGCTACCTGGAAGACTGCTTTGGAAGAAAAATGTCTAAGGATCAATATTGAAAAGACAGAGTATTTATGTTCAAACTTCAGTAGGAACCAAAACGATGAAGATGTAGAAGTATGCATCGAATGACACGTTCTCCCCTCAAATGATTATTTCAAGTACCTAGGGTCTATGATACATAAAGATGGGGTGTAGATGATGACGTCACACACTGTATAAAGGCGAGATGGTTAAAGTGGAGGGCTGCTACTGGAGTTTTATATGACAAGAAGGTGCCTCTAAAACACAAGGGAAAATTTTATAGAATGACAATTAGACCGGTGCTACTATATGGATCAGAATGTTGGGCAATCAATAAGGATCACGTAAGGAGGATGGAGGCCGCAGAAATGAGAATACTTCAATGCGCATGTGGTAGGACTCTGTGGGACATGACACCAAACTCTGCAATTAGGAGGTCCTTGGGGGTGGTGCCTGTATTCGAAAAGTTGAGGGAGAGAAGGCTACAATGGTTTGGGCATGTCCTTAGGCGAAAACCGTCAGATGCGGTCAGGAGGGTAGAGTCGATTACAGTAGACGGTGCCAGAAGGAAAGATCGACCAAGGAGGAAGTGGGTAGACTGCTTGAGATCTGATTTGAAGGATTTAGCCCTTACCAAGGACATGACCTCTGACAGGAAAGTATGGAGACTTAAGACCAGGGTAGCCGAGTAGTGTGGGTCACAACAATAAGGTGTAGCATCTTTGTCTTCTTTTTAAAGCCTTTGTAGTAATTTCCATGACTTCTACTTTTTATACGTTTCTGTCATTGGAATTTATGAAGGCTTAGAACTAGGGTAGCAGAGTAGTGTTGCCTTAGTGTAGGTTTTAACCCATTTAACTCTATTCATTCTCGTAACTTGCTATCGCTGACTACTGTGTATCATTTTCTTCATGTTTCCTCTTTTTAAATTTAGCCTGAACTTACGTTTTTCTGTCTATATACAGAGATTTTTACGCAGAGATTTATTTGCAGGGATTACTTCCCAGTACAAACGCGCATGTGTAGACTGCATATGAAGACTGTTCAACTATGTATTTATTTATTTATACGTGCATTGTATTTTATCTTTATTTTTTAATTTTCTGACTACCAGAGGTCTTTCACGGAAGCTGCTCTCAACCTGGCGTTGGGGGAAGCCTACTACCCTACCTCTCTCTTACCCTATTGCATATGGGATTAGGGTTTTGTTGTTATTGTTGTTGTGATACGTCTAAAAATAATTGATGTTTGAAATATAAATATAGTGTAAATTTTTAAAATATTATATTAAAATGATTCTATTGTTTACATATTTTTATAAAATAACAAAATTTTATAAAAGTGTGTATATAAATATGTATTTAAAATAATAAAAACGTTATATGAATTATGGAATTGAACAAATGTGAAAAGTTCTTCGAATATATACCTACCAAACATGATTCAGGCCCAGCTCCATTGAGTTTATATAAATGTTTGCTATCATAACTCGGCCCTTCCACTGACACTTCTAACCCGATGTTAGATCGAAGGCTCGGATTTCAATAGCCCAAGGTGTGTAACCCTAGACCCGAAAAGGTGAGACAATACGAAGCAAAAGGAGGAATAAAACAACAATAACAGCAAAGAAAAGAAGAAGAAGAAGAAGAAGAAGAAAAAAGAAAGGAATTAAAAAAAAAAAACCTCGGAAATGACAGATAACAAGAGATTGGTACCGGAAAAGTATGATGTTAACGCAAAATGGGACGACTGCCTCGATCTCACTGTCCGCCGCTTCGTTTATTCATCAGCCGCTGGTGCTTTTGGCGGCCTCCTATTCTTCAGTTTGTCTCGTCTTCTCCAAATTTTGTCAATTCATTTTTTTTCTTTTAAGATATTGGTTTTGAAGCGTTCGATTGGTGAACTTTTGAAACAAATTGTACATAATTTATAGAATTTAGTATTTTCAAGTTAAAGATTGAACTAGATGATGTGTTTTACAGCTTGTAGTTGTTAACCGTTGCTGATTGGCCTGATTGGTCATACAGATATTGTTTTCTAATTGCCATCATCTGTCCATTTTATTGTTGCATTTCCGATGCGATGCCTCTATATAATGATGTCATGAATGGGATGACGTTATGTATGTTTGGAATGCCGAAACTATTATACTTGTTTTCTTATCTGCAACATGAATATCCATGTAGGAGCCTATGTTTTAGATCATTTGGCTTCCTTAAGGAGCCATGTATTACGGGGATTCCTGTGAGTGTTGGATACGTGATTGTGTTCCACACAGATATGTTCAACTGTTGCTAAGTTTTTCTCTCTCTCTCTCTATATATATATGTTTCTTGGGTGCTTGGAGGATCAGATTACCATGCCAATGTCCGATTTTTAGTCAGACACGAGTGTCACACATTACTTAAAGAAAACTAAAGATTGGGAGCAACATAGACATTTCATGCTTTTAAGACATTCAAGCAGCGCTTACATCCCTGTATGATTGATTTACCTACATATACTCCAGCACCAGAACTAGCTCCTTTCGCCACCGCTCTGGTTTGCCTAGGATTCCTGAAAAAATTGATGCTTTGAGCAGATGATGGAATGCAAAATGTTTTTAATTTTATGTCTCATAAACACAATCCTTGTAGGTTAACAGCTGAGTTAAAACTTTTTCTATTACTCCTACCCAGTAAAGCTGAAACTGTTAAAGTGATTATGTATTTTGCCTTAATGGAATTCATGTAGGCAGTAGTTAGAGTATACCACGTTCTTCACTTTTGAATTGCATTGAATTTTTTATGGTAGTCTACTATCCAAGCATTATTAGTTCTGTGCCTTCCATTTCTGTGATTTTTTTCCCTCTCTTTCTTTCCTCCCTTGAATTCGTAATATTGATGCATTTTGATTTTCCATACCAGGGAGTCCAGTGACTCGATGGGCTTCGGTAGCTTTAGGTGCTGGGATTGGAATTGGATCTGCATATACAGAATGTTCTCGTAATTTTTATGGATATGATGCTCCTGTTTCCCAGGTAGGAGTTTTGTTTTACTCAGCTAATAGTTTCTTTTGAACTAATGCTTTTTCTAGGTTGCCAATTCATATTTTAGTTACTTTTAGTGGTAATCTTTTGTTATACAAATGTTAAATTCTTGTTTGACCATTACCAGTTATCTGAAGGTATTAAACGGGCAGATTTGCATTGTCAACTTCAACCCCAACAACCAACCAACCAACCCTATGGGATTCATAACCCCAAATCCAATAATTGGCAATGTTAAGTAAATTTATCCTACGATAATTCCTGTAACCAATTATATAATTAAAAAGTGATGTATTAAGTGATAGTTTATATAATTAAAAAGTGATTTATTAAGTGATAGTTTGAGTGGTCATGATGGATAAAATTTAAAGACACTTCAATTAGTGAACCGAAACTACTATGAGCTTGGCTTTCATTTTATCAAAACATATTTGCAATCATAGGAAGTGTCAAAGGCTATCACTTACGAAAAAAAAATTAGCGATGTTGCCTGACCTAGGGATGTGCGTTTGGTCGGTTGAAATTTTATATTTCAATAACCGAATAAACCAAATTGACTTGCCAAAATTGGATTTCTTCTTAACCAAACTGAAATAACCGAATAAATTGAATTGTTAATTTTTTATTTTTACTTTTCCTGTTTCTAAGATATATTTAAAAAAGATATATTTAAAAAATAAAAAAATTCAATTGTTAAATAAAACATTTATATGCAATTATTTGAATTGTTGGATTGCTTTATTACATATTTGGGTATTTAATATCATATTTAGATTAAATTAATTAAACATACGCAATACAAGTAATTTATTATTTAAAAAAGCTTGTTCGATTTAATTTGTTTATTCATTTTGGATTTCCTAAACCAATAACCGAACCGAATAAACAAACTGAATAAACTTGCAGAATTTCGGTTAACTTGGTTTAACTAACTATTTGCTCATCTTTAGCCTGAGCAAGTCAATTCATCAGGTTATAATGGCTAGATGGTTCTTTGCCACCCGGTCTATTGGATGATTTTGTACAGCCTCGGCAGTTTAAACACTATTTATTTCTTTAATAGATGTACTAAAATTTTATACTTCACTAACATTCTATCAACTTTGACTATCTTTCTGAAATCAGTGTGTGACAGATGTTTATCAAAATTAATTTGTATATCAGTCAACTTAATGTGTTTCAAAAATCTCTGCAAGAAACTTCATTTTGTTCTCTTTATGTTTCCAGGATGGGAAGCAGTGAGTTGAAGTTGTTGAAGTTCCTCTAAGTTTACAGGTTTGAATTCAGAGTTTTTCATAAGCTGGTATTGTTTGTGGTTTCCCCAGCAATGTCTTTTGAATTTTAGTACAAACATTGTTGTTGGTGGGTCAACAATTAACATGATGCACCGGAAATTTGGCATGACTCCAGTTGTCTTTTGCTTTGTAATTCTATCATAAGTAATAACACAAATTTGAAGAATGTAATAATTCCTTAAGTTGCAGGCTTGAATTTTGTGTCTGTTAAGATTTGCATTTGTTATATCTGTTGAGTGCCAATATGTGGAGTTACATTTTAGCTTGCCTCGTGGTGTAGGTCATATTTGAATCTCTATCACATATTTATTTCTTCTCCCATCCCTCTATTTTCTGCTTTCTCATTTGCTGGGACTACTGCGTAAAGAGTGAAACGAAGTTTCGATCTGGGTAGAATGCAAAAGGTTGTTGATAATCTTGATTCGTTTATGCTTGTGAGTCGCAAGGTGAGAGGGAGAGGGGAAGCCTGCCTTCCAAAATTTCTCTAATTTGAAGAGGTTCATCGAAATGTAAGTTTTAGACGGTTGCAGATGAATGCAATTAGTCCTCCAAAAACAGCATTGTTCTGTTTAACTGTTGCTCAAATAGAAAATGTCCTCGCATTTCATTCTCCTCCTTGAACCGAAACATAATTGTATACCTGTGTCCTGAGTTTGTGTGAAACAGTGCAAGCTGACAATGGGCAGCGAAAACAAACTAAGGTCAGTTTTCTTTGCATCTGGAAGAAGCTAAGATCAAACGTCTTTCCATTTTTAGGTCTAAATAACCAAGTGGAATGGAAAGAATAAAAAGATGGTCCCAAAGCAACTGTCTATAGCAGTTGACATTGTGATTTACTGTGTTATCCCTTCTTCGTTGAATGCTCATTTGGCCTATTTAGGTTGGGATCAAACCGAACCGATTTTCACTAAACCTAAACTAGGCTGCTTTGGAGCTTCTATTTGAGTTAGGATGCTTAGGCTTTGAAAGGAAAGCTCCCCACTCTATCCTTTGTCTTTGAAGAACACCATACATCATATATAGAAGCCACGGAATTCAAGGATGCATTCTGGAAAACCCTAAACTCCAAACTGTATTAAAGATTGTGCAAGTGTTATTTCATCTCCTGTTTTTCTTACTAATGATCTTTGTATAAGTTGGCTTGGGGACCATGTTAGCCTGGTATTATGCTGTTTCTTGAGCTTTTTCCTGCATGTAACTCTGCTGGTCTTTCCTCTACTTTATTTCAATATTGGAATAAATTCTTCGTATTTATCCCCAAAAGAAGGAAAAAAATAATAAAAACTCAGAGGAATAAGTATAAATTGTGCACAGTCCTGAATGAAAAGTTCTTAAATATTGTGGATAATAATTACAGCTTTTGGAGGTCAAGAATGAAAAGAAAAAATAAAGTGTGTGTATATATATAACATTAAAAGGTTTTCATTAAATTTCAGTGTAATAAATTGTTTCATCTTCATTTTTTAATTATTGATACATATTATCAATATTATATTGAACGACTTATGACGTTGTCTTTTATCTTCATTTGTCAAATTTTTTTAATGGCGTTTCAATTAATGTATGTATTATTTTATTCGATTCTATTTTTTTATTATCAGTATGGGTAGTTACACCCGCCATCATTATTTTTTTCCTCAACAAGACATGTAGACAATTGTCCCTATACTATAATTAAAAATGCAATTGAGCCCTTATATTTTATAAGTTGATCCTTGTGCTATGCATTAGATTTGGTGAGCTAATATGGACTTGTGAAATCTGACGAATTGTAGAAGTTTGTATCTAACAAAGTCAACGTCAACAATGGTGAACTATACGTGCATAGATCTTTTAGCTATTCCTTTGTTTGACCTACTCTCGCCGTTTTCGCTGGCCATTTCAAATAGAACCTTACTCCGTAACTACGTCAAACACTAACAACTCAAAGAAATTATCTACTTTACAATACAAATTTTCAGCTACGTTGACGATTCTGTACTGGTTCTAGACAAGGTTGGGGGACGCAAACACGAAGTTAGAGCCTGTTCTAAGCTCTTCACAACCTCGAACATTGATGGTCGTTGTCGGCCTTCGGGTCCCACACAGGCAGCTGCTAAATATCCTACACTTGCAACACCTTCTATTTCGAACATGGTCGGTGCTGGGACTCGACGGTCCAAAACTCTATGAATCTCGTCACGGGCAATATATGGAACCACAAAATCAACCACATTCCTCGGTGACCCGTTTTCATTCATGTGGATCGCCTTGTATCCGGATAATAATTCGAGCAGTACTACACCGAAGCTGTACACATCGCTCTTGGTGGTTAGTCGTTGGAGCCTGTAGTATACTGGATCCATGTACCCGACTGTGCCGGCTGCTCGCAGCGAGATGTGTGACTCGTCATCCTCTGGGCCCAACAATGATAATCCAAAATCGGATACCTTTGCGGCCCAAGATGCATCGAGTAGAATGTTCGAAGACTTGATGTCGCGGTGTATGACCGGTGGTACGGCGTATTCGTGCAAGTACTCAATCCCTCTCGCAGCGTCTAGTGCTATGTTAAGCCGTGTAGCCCATGACATGAAGGGTAAAGATTGGAGCTTGTGGAGATGGTCGTGTAGTGTGCCATTGTTTATGTACTCGTATACCAGTACACGCTCATTGGCATCTTCGTAAAATCCCAATAGTCGGACAAGGTTTTTGTGGTGGAGGCGAGATAAATATTTGAGCTCGTTAATGAAGGCTTCATCTTTATCTTCTCGATGCTTAGTGCCGATCACGTAGGACGAAGTACTTGTTACTTCAGCTCGTTTGATGGCGACTTCACGGCCGTCATCAAAAGTGGCTCGGTAGACAGAACCGAAGCTGCCAACACCAATTTTATGATCTTCAGAGAAATTGTTGGTGGCTTGAATCAGATTATCTAAAGAAAATTCCTCCGAACAAATTGTATATCCCACGCTTGTCAATTGGCTGAGACGCTTCTCAAGAACTGCTGGTGCTAATGAGGCTTGGGGCTTATTGGAAACATCATAAGCCGACGCATTGGTTTCATCGAGCCGATCTGAGTCATGGATACGACATCTTCTACCTTTGCAATATCTGAAGACAAAGAAACCGACTACTAGCAACAATGAGAAGGATCCTACACAACCAACAACTAGGAAAGCTACCATTCTGCCATTCAAATTATTGTCTGTGGATCTGTTTTGAGGTTGTGTAGGTGAGGGAGCAGATGGCAGGGACGGCGATATCGGCACGCAAGCTTTGCAGACGGATCCACCATTGCTGCAAAACGAACCAGTTCCCGGCAGTGTACCACATGGACATGTATTCCGACATGGCCCTGGTTGAACTTCCGAGAATACCAAGGAACTCGAGTTAAACCTTGAATCACCCCAACAAACCAACGAATAATTCAACGTTGAAACTCCACAAAAGACATTTCTCTTTGCTTTGATTGTAATGAAACTACGCCTTTCCAATTCCTGCGGCAGAGTGAAGTTATTTTGACCCCAGCAGACTACTGTTCCATTAGTCCTCAACCCACAGCTTCGATTCAATCCCAGAGCCAGTGCGTTGAAATTCCTCGTGGTTGGAGTATCGTCGACCACCGTGTCCCCCCAACACTCTAAATCGTTCTCTCTGCTGATGGCACAAGCATGGTTAAACCCAGCAGCAATCACGCTATAATTCCCTTTAGGCTCTTGACCCGATACACCATCTATGTCTCCATGGCAGCTGATCTTTCCTTCCTTTGATAATCCACACACAAATCCTTCACCAACAGCGATCGAAGAAAAGTTCCGATACTCCCAGGTTTGATTGAATTCGGGCCATTGCCAGCATTCAAGAGCGTTGGTTTCATTAAGACCACAAATGTGTGAGTTTCCAGCTTCGAGTTGGGTAAGAGCTGGACCATTGTAAATTCGTTTAAACTCCATAGTAGCACCATTGTTGAAGAATCTCCAGCAATGCATGACCGAGGCATTAGGTGAGGAAAACGATGGCCTCAAACCACACAAGAACCCGTCCCCGGAGACAATCCCACTAAACGAAACATGGGGGTCGAAAGGGGTTCGAAAACGAGTTCCTGATAAGGTAGAACAATTGAGAGATGGTACTAAAGCACACACAAGTGTAAAGTTCGAAGTTTCAGATATGGAGAAGGTGGAGAGTGAAACACTGAATGAAACAAAAGAAAGAAACGAAGCAGCAATCAGGAGAGGGAAGAAACGACCCATTGAAGTTGTTTGGATCCAAGTGCTTTCATGGTGGGATGAAAGATGATGTGAACGGGTAAATAAAGAAGGCCCAAATTGTTGGAGAACCAGGAAATTGAACTGAACGCGGCTTGAAGAGTTTGATGGAGTTTTGAGACAAAGTCCTTTTGAAGCAACCGAGGTGCGTGTGGGTGGTCAACGTTCGAAACCACCCAATTTATAATTAATTTTAAATAACCTGCTGTTTGAATACTGAATGCGTCCCCATGTTATAGGAGTAAAGCTTGATATAAATATTTGTTTGTACAAAAAAAAAAACCCTACTGAAAACCGTTACCAATTTTGTCTGATTCCATGTCTGCTGAAATGGAACTGCAAGGTTCGGCATCAGTAAGCATCTTCACCACTTCTCTCATTGTAGGCCGCAAATTCTGATGCTTGGCCAATCTTCAACACCTTAATCATGTGTCTCGAACAGTTTCAGCGGTCACTCGACCGTCATGAACCTGGACGACGACGAGATGAGTTAAAAACCCAATACAAGGTTACTAGCTCTACTAGTACCACTCCAGAACTATACGCATCGCTCTTCTTAGTCACTTTTAGAGTATATGCAAGCTCTGCCAAAGAAAATAATAGACTAAGTATTAGGTGCTCCATATTTACTTACAATGTAACAGATGGTGGGAAACTCGGCCTATGCTTGCCCTGTCAGGCACAACCTATGTTACTTGGATTCAGAAACGAGTACTTGATACAGATTTATGTCTATGTAAACTCAGAAAATTGGTAATGAACTCGTCAAACTCACCAGGAGCAATATAACCATGGGTGCCAGCAAAGCTGCTGTACTCGGTTCCCTTGAGAGACTTTTCAGCAACCTTTGCAACACCAAAATCACCAATTTTTGGCTCATAATCTTCATCTACTAAAATTTTGCAGGATTTTATATCACGAATGATGAGAGCTGAACAATCATGATGCAGGTAAGAGATTCCTTTAGCAGCTCCTAATGCAATTTTTTATCTTTGATACCAATCCAGTTTTGGATTTCCAACTTTATTCTCTAGTCGAAATGCTTGAAGCAGACTACCGTTCGACATGAATTCAAACACCAAATAGTTTGGTCCTCCTTTCATTAAACAAGCATAGAGTTTAAGTATGTTTCCATGCTGATTTTCCCCAGAATGTCTATTTCTTCTGTCAAAACCTTCATATCATCCCCCTTCCATGGTTTACAGCAACGACATTGCCCTTTTTCTTTAAATCGAGCCGATAAACTCATCCAGTACCTCTACTCCCGATCAGATTTTCTTCCTCCAGATTACATATTTCATTTGGATCAAAATCCATGCAGTGAAAAGATGCAAGTTTCCATTTCGAGTTCACTCCCTCCTCGCCTTACAAACCATTTACAATGTCGGGTTGTCTAAGCTTGAAGTTCCTGTAACTCACATTATAACAAATACAAACAATTCCCTCTACCCCCCAAACACCCTCTTCTGGCTCTGCCCTTCATTGCAGACATTCAACATGGTACCGTTCGTAACAGTTTTCGAATATGTCCCTTATTCCCAAGAAATGCTTCATCTCCACCTATAGTCAAGAGATCAGAAGGAACATTTCCAGACAATTGATTCTCGGACAAATCAATAGAACTTGGCCTCAAATTTTCCAGATTCTTTGGAATCGGACCGGTGAGTTTGTTTCCAGAAAGATCCAAGAAGTTCAAAGAGCTCATCAATGATACTGTTGATGGGATAGCTCGACTGAAATCATTATCAGCAAGATTCAAGTCCACCAACCTAAAACAATCACCGATTTCATCTGGTATTGATCTAGTTAACGAGTGTTCCCCAAGATGCAAAGAAGATAAATGCATCCAAGCACCAATTTCCGCAGGTAGGTTGCCAGAAAAGCTATTATTACTCAAAAGAAGCCTCTCTAAATGTGCCAATTGTCCAAGCTCTGATGGAAGATTACTTAAAAATCTATTGTTCTTCAAAACCTATTGATTTAAGCTGATGGAAAATGCAATCATGGGGATATCCTTCCACTAAACTCATTATCACCAAAATCAATCATGGTTACCTTTGGAAGTGCCCAAACTCCATCAGGAATTTTCCCAGAAAGATGATTATTATTGACCCTCAACCTCTCCAATGATTTGCATTCGTCATACGAATCCGGAAACTCGCCGGAAAAGTTGTTGGTAAGTGCCATTAACAGCCTTAGTTTCCTGTTTTCAAACAAGAACCTGGGAAAATCACCTGAAAATTGATTCTCCGATATGTCGATACTGTCTAGCGGAGAAAATCTGGCAAAATTCACAGGAAATTTACCGGAAAAGTTGTTTCTATAAGCAGAGAAGCCTACAAGATGATGCATATCACCAAACTCTGCAGGGATTTCTCCATAAATGTTGATTGAAAGACCACCAAATTCTTCAGATTTCCAATCCCTTGGGGCAATCCCCCATGCATCTGATTCGACTAGATATCTATTTCCTCGCAACAGAGAAAGATCAGCAATCCCCAGTGCAACTCAACAGTAAACTTGTTGAAGAACAGCTCAATCTTGGTAAGGTTTTCAATTTGTAAACGAAACTAGGAAAATCCCCAGAAATCTTGTTCCTTGAAATATCCGATGTCTGTAAAGCATTCAACTCAAGGATAGACACTGGAATTTGTCCTCTGCTGCGGACTGACATTGGATTCGGAAGTAGAAAAATGGGTGCTTAACCATTGATGAACAGTTAATCCTTGAACATAATAATTTCATGATCTCAAAGAATGTAGAGAATCATAATTTGGAAGATGAATTATTGACATTTGCAGCGGATAATTCCAATACCATCCTGGCAAGTGAAAAAGGCTGAAATGGAAAGACACACAATTACATAAACAAACATCAGTGCAAACAGTGGCTTGTTTAGGATCAAATTAAACCCAGATGAAAACATTTGATTTTGGACATTATTAAGATCAAACTTAATTAATTTATTCGAGTTTTCTGTTAAGGTTGAGAGGTGCAATCCACAGCCAGAAAACAGCGATGGAAAACGAAACGCAATTAGAGCTTAGAAATCTGTGTTTGATGAACATTAATGGGATAACTTCAGTTTGAAGCTTAGAAGTGAAAGCCTTGATTGCTATTTCCACATTCACTGCTTCCGGGGGATGAAGCCCATCGAAGAACACATGACCCCTTCTGTCACTGCATGTTCTCCCACCTTCCTTGCGTAAAACCCCACCGCCTTCCAGCTGTGTCGACGGTACCACTTCACAACATGCATTGTTAACATCTCTGAAATGTTCCAAGAATAAACACCACCATTATCTAATTACGACCGGTCTTATTGTGGCAAGAAACTAGTTTTGTCCTGATTAATATACCACTAGTGTTACCTCTGGAGGAAGGGTTTTCGATGATATCACTTATAATCTTGTAAGAGTTGACAAAAACAAGATTGGATTCTGGCATGTCGGATTTAGCCACATCTACCAACGATTTCAACCAGTCGTTGAAGAGCGTGGCCGCCCGGTTCAGAGCTTCGATGCAGTTACTTCCGTTACGCAACGTGTTCATCATCCGAAAACATCCCAATGGATTTATCGACATCAACACAAACTTCCACAAAGATTGAGGTAAATGTGTCATAAAGATAGAGATAAACGTATTATAAAGACAAATAAAAACATATCACAAAAAAAAAGATAAATGTGTCATAAAGGCAGAAAACATATCACATAAATATAATTATTCTTATTAAAAAACTTAAAAAAACAAAAAAAAAATATAATCGATGGACGACAACCAACATAAAAAATCGATACCGCCATTGGTTAAACAAAACTAAAGAAGAAAAAATTGGATTAACCAATAAAGTTAATATAAATTGTAAAAAAAAGGGAGAGAATGAAGAAAGCTGCTAGGATTTTTTAAGTGTTGATGATATATTTATATGTTACATGTATATATTATGTATAACATATCTTTCTAATTTTTTAATAATTTATAAATAACTATTTTATAACCTATTATATATATTCAATTTTAATTACCAAAAAAAATATTTTCACAATTATTTTTAAATTTATTATAATACTTTTAGTATTTTTAATATGTATGTTGTTTTTTTAGTAATTTGTTTTTATTTTTTAATATTTTAATATTTTTTTGAATGTTTGAATAATTTTATATTTATAATGTAAAATAACTTTTACTTAAAAAAATAAAACCTTGAACTTATTAAAAAAATCAGTTTGACCCTCGAATGAAATCAAAAAATCAATTTAGTCCATCTGTCATGTTATCAGTCATCATGAATTGCCACGTTAACACTCTGGACTACCACATCAGTACTGTGAACTGTCGCATCATCACCATAACGGTCAATGATAGAAAATGTTGGTCAAATAACCACATTGAATTTATTTTATGAGTTGGAAGACTACGTTGAGAGAAAAATAATTAACAAGCGTCGTTTTACTCACCAAAATAAATAAAATAAAACCTTTCGGACAGTAAAATAAATAGATTAAACTTAAGTAGAACAGTGGAAGAGGGTCATTCCACGAGGAGTTGCTGGAATTTCTGATTAATCTTTGTCTTGATTTCAATCTCAGAAACTGAAGTAAAAGTGAAATAAAACAAAGGGGGTTTGGCGTGATTTGATGAAAAGAATTAAAAGAAGTAAACGAGGCAAATAAAATTGAGAAGAACAATGTATCAAAAGAAGAGCAGTAAATAAAAATTGAAATGAAATAATAAAATTCAACAGTAGAAAAGTTGTCTCAAGCTAGTTTTGATTCGATTCTTTCGATCACGAAAATGTATTCCTTCGAAATTCACGTCGGTTACAGTCTATAAGGCTCAACCCATTGTAATTTGTTTTTATCTCATGTAACCGATCTTCCCAAGTCTATCTTTAAAATATGATTATTGAGTGGATTAACCACATCTATTACCTCAGATTAAAAATTGGAAAGGTCCGACTCGGATGTTATCTTGTCGAGAATCGATTTCGATCTCGTTTTCCCTTAGCAGATTGTCACTAAGCGTGTTCACAGGAAGTCGAAGTGCTACAAGCCGATCCTTCCTCCCTACGATTTTTTCAAACAACGTTCAAACCAACAAGCACTTTTTGATTTGAAAGAGTTTACCCTTAGCGGATTGCCAAACTCTTTTGCCCATAAAAAAATGAGAATGTATCCTGAAGGGACTTTATTGCTTTGCTCGAATCTCAGGATTGAAATCGATTCATTACTAGCTCTTTGGCACAAGAAAATTAACTAAGCATGATATTGATACCTAGCATGGTTTTGGAAAAATAAAAGTAAAAGAAATAAAGTAAAGGAAGAAAATGGTAACTTGAAAAAAACACTAGAGTAACAAAAATAAAAACAAGAAGATAACATATCATGTTTTAGCCTTACCCATAATGGTGTGTTTGGTTCACGGAATGTAAGATTACCAGTGAGAATAAAAGATTACCAGGAAATAGGATTACTGGGAATGTTGTATTTTGTGTTTGGTTGGTTTAGCAGGAATGTAAGATTATCGTGTTTGGTTAAAGGAATAAAAGATTATTAGAATGTATAATTGACCAAATTGTCCTTATTATATATTTGTATAATATTACAAATTATAAAATATTTATATATTTTCTTTAAAAAATTAAATTCATAATATTTATATAATTTTTTTTACAAAATTAAAAATATAAAAAAGGTTTAATGAAATGGTAAATTTTTTTTAACTCTTGAACTTCATATAAAATTTTAATTATAGATTTTTTTTTGTAAATCTAAAATAATTTAAGGATAAATTTGTAATTTAACCTTCGTAGAATTTTTATTATTCAATGACAGAAGAAGGATATTTTTGGAAAAAATAAAAATTTAAAGGCATTTTAGTCCAAAACGCCGGTAATGTTACAATACCTAAGGGAAGGGAGGTAATGACATTCCCGGTAATATACCCCAAAAAATCTTCTATTGGTAATAAAATATTATCGGGAATGAGATTCCCGGCCAACCAAACATGGGAATGTGGGATTCCCATCCCATGGGAATCCCACAATCTTTAACCAAACACCCCCTAAAGGTATTTATAGCCTTCCTAAAACTAAAGATAATAAAATAAAATAAAATCTAAGATAATAAAAGTGATAATTCAAATGTTTTGAAATTAAAATTCAACAAATCCAAATCCAAATCCTAACAGCTCCAACAAAAACGTGCTAACTAGATGTGCTTCTAGAGTCTTCCAGTGCCTTCCAACATTTTCTAGAACTTCCACATCAGCTCTGCATCGTGTCCAACATCATGTCCATGTCTCCATCTATGACTAGAAAATAAAAAAAGTTGCAGATCACATCCTTCTGCTGCCAATTCCGATTTTAGGTCTTCTGCACATGAAATAAACCAAATGCAAGTAATTAAGTAATGAAAAGCTGAAAGCAACAAGTGTCAATTATAAGAGCACATCAATTATAAGAGCATACTAAATAGATATAATTGTTAGATTCTTGGATTTCGTCTGGTAGATCACGTGAGTCTATCAACAATTTCATCCATACATTGTAATTGGTTCGAAGAATATGAACTTCTTGATAGCTTCGGTAGTGGAAGAGTCTATCTGAAGGTATTTAATTGGCATACGATCGATAGTTTCCGAAAATCATCTGCGCGTGAGATTAGACAAAGGAAAGAAGGGTCACTTGGGGGAAAACAAAACTCAGGGTTCGTTTGTGTTTCGTCTCCAACTTTGGTTGCTTTCCCATCGATGCTGGCTGCTGCACAATGCATGAAAAATGACCTTATTTACCATCTAACTTGAATTAACAAAACACATGAATGTTGGGTGTCAAAGAGACAACACTTACCATGGTGATGAAGTGGCACCTGGAGGCTTTGTGAAAGTAGGCAAAACATGGACAAGATAACAACAGGCATTAGACGTCCAACAACTCCAGAAGACAAGTTCTTAATATACACTGCAGAAATTTGATTACTTTAAGGAAAAACAACATAAAAGAGCATGCAAAGAAACAAAAAATATTTGGGGAGGAGATTTGTGGTGGGTTTTAGGGTATATTGTATAGTAATATATAAGGTTGGTGATGAAAGAGAGAGGAGGCATGTTGTTTTAAACGAACTCTATTGTTTCACTTCTTCCATATGCAATTCTCTTCCCTTCCGCAATGTCTCTCTTTAATGTTCCTATTGGTCACCCCTTATTCACCATTTATCGGTCAACTTTTGTAGTAAAAAATATCTGCATTTGGATGACTGATGGACATATAATGGTTTGATTTTGCAAGTATATTCATTTTTCTTTATGAAGTTGTTGTCCGAGAAATTCAAAGATAAACTCATATAGTATAAGGATTTTAAAAAGTTAAATCTATCATTTGGAGCAATCTTTATATATTTAATCTGTTGATTAATTAATATTAATCGGATGATTCTTTCAATTTAGTGATACGTATTCATAAATTTTTTTTACTTTTACCGTGAATATCACTCAATAAATTCACAACTAAATCCATGTTCTAATTTTAATCTCACACCCAGAAACCGTTATAATACCTACGTACTGTGGTAAATAAAGTCATCGTTCACACGTTTCAACATATCCGTGTCAATTGATTCAGTGGCTCACATAAAACGGTAGCGTACGATGATTGATGTGCACTGATCCATTTGTACATAACTGGCGTGCCCTATAAAATCACAATATACAATCGTAAAATCCCCAGTAAAAAGAAGATGATTCGAAAGAAAAATAACGAGTGCAACAGAGAAAGTGCAAATCGCAAAATCCCCAGATTTTCTTTCCATCCAAACGCATGTCTTCCTCTATGGTCTATCATCCCATCTGTTTCATCTGTATCTATTATAATTATTATCCTAAAATATTATCTCCTCCCTAATTTTCTCTCACTTTCCAGGAAGAAAAAAGAACACCTTTTGTAATCGTTCCCTAACAAAGGTATGTTTATCAGTTACATATATCTTATTTCAGCTCGCGAATTTTACAGGTTTTGACTTAGCTTATTTATTTTTCTTTAGCTATTGAAAGAATGATATCTGTTGTAAGCGAAGACGCTGAATTTGATAAAGAACCGGATAAAATAGAAGAGAAAGCTAGTGTTTCTACTGATGAAGATATTGATAGCCGAAACGAAGAAAGTAGATTGAATTTGGGAGTTTCTAATGAAGAAGGTAGGGTTTCTCCAATGGAACACGATTTTAGGGTTTCAGAGAATAATATATCTGAGTTTAGGGGGAGTTATGCTGATAGCGTAGGTAAGGTAATAGGCGGCGAATCTAGGGTTATTTGTGCAAATGATCGAGTGGATGAACAAGCTGAAATAGCAAATGATGAGAGTTATGGAATAGGGAATTCAGAGAAGGGTATTGGTTTGGACTATAAGTCCCTGTTATCCGAGTTTGGCGATTATGTAGCCAATGATAGAATTGGAGGAGGGGCTTCAAAGGCATTGAGTTATGGGTTTGAAGTGGGTGATATGGTTTGGGGAAAGGTGAAATCTCATCCGTGGTGGCCCGGTCATATATTTAATGAAGCCTTTGCATCTCCATCTGTACCTCACACGAGGAGGGAGGGGCATGTGTTGGTTGCTTTCTTTGGGGATAGTAGCTATGGTTGGTTCGATCCGGCTGAGCTTGTCCCTTTTGATCATAATTTTTTTGAGAAATCACAACAGACAAACTCAAGGACCTTTGTGAAGGCTGTGGAGGAGGCAATGGATGAGGCTAGTCGAAGGGGTGGTCTTGGTTTGACTTGTAAATGTAGGAACCCTTTTAATTTTCGTCCCACAAATGTCCAAGGGTACTTTGCAGTTGACGTGCCTGATTATGAACCAAATGGGATTTATTCAGTGAATCAGATTAGGAATGCAAGAAATAGTTTTAAGCCCAGTGAGACCCTCTCATTTTTGAAACAATTGGCATCAGCCCCTGTAGCTTATGACCAGCAAAGCATTGAGTTTTTGAGGAATAAGGCTACTGTTTCTTCTTTTCGGAAGGCTGTGTTTGAGGAATATGATGAGACATATGCACAAGCTTTTGGGGCGCATCCACCACGACCTTCCCACCAGGCTGTTAATGCTCCAGCACGAACTTCTAAGGAGGCACCACGAGGTACCTGTTTGCTCTTATTGATGAATCTTGGAAACTGTTTCGGGTTTTGATTTAATGGAATTCTTTGTGATATGTTCTGCCTTCTGTAGTTTCACATTAAATTCCAAATGATGTGTTGTTTTAGAACATATTATCGCTGCTCTCACTAGACTTTTGGCCAAAACAGTTGCAAGCCTCACATTGCTAAAACTGGTATTCTATTGCATTCAATTTATCATGGCTCGTAATTCATATTTTGGATTTCTGTAGTATGTCTTTAGATATAGCATTTTTTAATTGATTGATCCATGCTTATAGTCAGATGTGAGTTTCTGACTAGGGGTGCTTATCGACCGAGTTGATCGCGAGTTGGGTAGTGCTCGACTCGTGCTCGTTAAGAAAGCTCGTTGCTCGTTAAGAAAACTCGTTGCTCGTTAAGCTCGTTACTCGTTAAGCTCGTTACTCGTTAAGCTCGATGCTCATTGCTCGACTCATTGTTTGTTAAGCTCACCGAAATTTTTACCTTATTTTCTTAACTATAGGTAAAATCTACTAATACCATATAGAACTTAATATAAACATAAATTAGTAAATTTAATCAAAAAATTTATCAAAAGAGTGTATGAAGTAATTTTAAAGTCTAAACTCTAAAGTAGCAATCTACAAAAACATTAAAATAATAAATAAGGTTTGATTTTTGAGTGTGTGAAATATTTTTTTAAGATAACTACTAAAAAAATATATGAAAAAATTAACGAGTTGCTCGCGAACTTATCGAGTCGAGTTGGACTTTGCTCGACTCCACTCGTTAAGATCTCGAGTTCGAGTCGAGTCAACCCGAGTCTAGTTTTTACCGAGCTTTGACCGAGTCGCGATCGAACTGCTTACGAGCTGCTCAACTCATTAAGCACCCGCTCCACTCCTATTTCTGACAACTGTTTTTCACTGGAAGGGCCATGTTATAACACAGTAGTGATCTTGGCTCTTCAACAACTTATATTTGGATTTTTAGCTTTCTGATTTTTGTTTAGGTCTCTCATTTATACCCTTCTCATTAATGAACAATTCCCAGGAGTGACAAAAAGGTTGTGTATAAGTTTTGCAATACTTTATGGTTTTCCATCTATCAACTATCATTGTTGAGTATTACACAACACTGAAAGGATAGAAGAAGTCCTCGTGCCTTGCTGCCTCTTGATATCCTGAGATAATATTTACATGCATTCCTCTTGGTTACTGGTTTGGGCATTAACATTGTCATGTCTCTGTTCTTATGAGATTGTTACCTTCTTTGTTGCCATTTCCAGCTCCTTTGAGTGGGCCAATGGTGATTGCAGAAGCATTGGATGGTGGAAAGAGTTCTAAAAAACCCATAAAAGTTAAGGACCATTCAAAAAAAGACAGATACATATTCAAACGAAGAGACGAAGCAGCTAGTGCTACAATGCAATCTACTTACAGAGAGGGATCACCAACATTTGTGGCTGGGGATTATGTCCTACAGAAGAGGGATCCAGTTTCTCAAATTCCTGTAAAAAAAGAGCATACTGTTGTTGTGAGCAGGGATAGTGTAAGTTCAAGTGGAGATTTATCCGGAAATGCAATTGCGTCTGTAAACCAGACTTCATCAGCCAATGCTGTTGCTGAAGATGTAAAGCCGTCTTTGAATAAAATTGATGGTGGGCCGACATCTTCTCAGCACGAAGGTGATGTTATATTTGACCTGAAACCTGAGGGTGGAAAATTGTCCCCATTTAATGGAGTTGAGAAACATGATATGGATTCTACTGCAAAACTGGAAGGAGGCCAGGGAGTAGATCAAATTCAAGATGGTCTCACTGGTGGGCATCCTTTGGTTGATATAAAGCGCTCTGGTGGTATGAGTGATGAGGGTGGGTTGAAGAATGTTAAAAAACGAACTTCAGGAGATATAGGTGCTGAGAACTCTGCTTTGGTGGAGAAAAAGAAGAAGAAAAAGAAGAACGAGGCTGGATCAGAAACAAACTCTGATAATCATGGCGTGGAAAGGACTAGCCCAACAATTGTTAAGAGGTTCTTTTTACGTTACCGGTCACTTGTTTATCAGAAAAGCTTGGTTGTGTCGCCACCATCTGAGACAGATCCTGGTGAACCCCTTTCTGGTAAACCTCCTTTGGTTGGAACCTCTGACAACTATGGCAAGGAGAATGTTCGACACTCAACTCCAAAACCAGCAAGACCCCTTGCAGGACAGGATGATCCAACAAAAGCTGGACTGAAGCGTCTCCCATCTGATCGTCAAGAAGAAATTGCTGCAAAGAGGTTGAAAAAGATTACTAAGGTGAAATCATTAGCTGCAGAGAAGAAGGGCAATCTGAGAACTTCGGAAGCTCCAAAAGTTGAAGTTAAAGAAAAACCAACTGCAGGTCCCCCAGGAAGACCACTAAAAAAACCAGATTCTGCAAGGAAAATGGAGCCTCCACCTAGGGCTGTTGGGCCTACAATGCTGGTTATGAAGTTTCCTCCTGAAGTATCACTTCCATCAGTTGCACAACTAAAGGCAAGATTTGGACGCTTCGGCTCGTTAGATCAGTCAGCAATTCGTGTGTTTTATAAGTCGTCAACGTGTCGTGTTGTGTTCAGACACAAGATAGATGCACAGGCAGCTTATAGATATGTTAATGGAACTAATTCTCTATTTGGCAATGTGAATGTGAGATACCATCTTCGAAGTGTGGAAGCTCCTACAGCAGAAGCACTAGATTCTGATAAGGGACGAGGAGACACTACTACTGGTGAAACCATACCAGTCAAGGATTATGTAGTTGAACGATCAGTGTCGGTGCTTGCACAGCAGCCTATTCTGCAGCCAACAGTCCAGCTGAAGTCCTGCCTAAAGAAGCCAACAAGTGAAGAGGCGGGGCAGGCAACTGGCAGTAACGGCGGTAGGGTTGCAGCCCGTGTAAAATTCATGTTGGGTGGGGAAGAAACTAGTAGGGGAGATCAATTGTTGGTTGGTTATAGAAACAACTTCAACAACAATCCTGGTTTTGCCGATACTGCTGCACCTTCTGTTGCAATGGAATTTAATACTAAGAACTTTCAAAAGGTCATTCCTCAATCTTTGTCTTCATTTCCTGTTAATCCCCCCATTTCTCAATTCGAGAAAGCCCCCTCCGAAGTGGCTCCCAGAAATGCTCACAATCTTAATACACAAACCACCACCCCACCAGCTAGTACCACTAGCATGGATATTTCACAGCAGATGCTAAACCTTCTGACAAAGTGCAACGATGTCGTAACCAACGTAACGAGCATGTTGGGCTATGTGCCTTACCATCCTCTTTGAATAAACGAAAGTCAACCCAAATTAATGTTCGATAAAAATCAAAGAGCAGACGATGTATGGTTTTCCCCAATGCTGTCGCCAGGAAAGGCAGCAAATGAACCACAAATACCGTGGGGGTTTAAAGAGAGTGCAATCAAGAAAATAATCCATTTGTGGGTTATAAAGTTATAAATTCCCTTTTGTTGGAAGTGTATACATCCGGTGCAGTGCCCTGCGCTGTTTTTCCATAGCCTTTCTCCTCTGCCCCCATTGAAATGATTGTCTGTGTTTTGTTTTATGTTACGAGTAATGGATTAGTAAATGCCACTATCGTATTATAGTTTTATGAATTGGTGTATGGATTGGTGCATTACTTAGAAACAGATAGGGAAGAAGAGGAGATTATGTTTTATGAAACTATCTTTCAGGACAAAACCTATATTAATTGTAATTATCATTCATGACATTTTATGAAATTAAACTTATATTAGTATATAATATAGTTTTTAATTTAGTCTAGTAATAATGAAAATGATTTTACGAGTACATAGATTTTTGCTGTTTTTAAATGAGAAAATATCGAATAAAAAGGAATAGAAGGGATAGGTAATTAATTAATGATTTTATTTTAAACTAAACTAAAACTTATTTTAGATGAAAGTAGAAAAATAAATGTGTTGGACAAAAAACGCTGTACGAGGTAGAGTAAAGTTTGGTACATCTTCCTACTGCTGCCAGATGAGAGGTAATGAATTCATGATCTTTCCCACACATCAAAATTAAAGCAAATGAAAAACGTAAATAATAATACTCGAGTTCCAAACACCGAGATTCCTCATTCTGGATACGTTTATTTATTGCTAAATTAAGGTTTTAAAACCTAAAATTTACTTCATCAACAGAACCTGGAAGCTTATTCAGAATCAGAAAAACAATGGAAGATACTTCATCAACAACATCGCAAGCGCATGAAGTTATAAGGGCTCTTCTCACTCGAAACTGGGTTACACTTTCACGTCCCAGGGAAGAAGACGATGATAATGGACATGCTTCTCCAACAACGGATTATTCAGATCCACCAGCTGATCCTCCTTCCACCACTGCGACTGCAAGTCAATAATTGAGCTTTATATTTGAGGGGCACTGAGTGGTCTCCTTGAGATGCAAGTTATTGCAGTTTGAATTATGCAGGGAGTTCCGGTGATTGCTGCTCTCTTCGCTCCTAAAAGGCCAGGGTCAGGAGGAGGCAGCGGACCTCAGATTAATTAGCTTCGGCTTTGGAGATCGAGTGAGTTGATATATATATATATATATATATATATATATATATATATATATATATATATATATATATATATAATCAATCAATGAATAAATAATTTTTCTTATTTTATCCCTTAAAATCAACTTTTATTATAGGTTTATATATATATTTTTGAGTTTTTATAAGTTTTAAAATAAATATTTAGTCAATGAAGAAATGTTATATAGGTGATGTTTGTTTTTGCAAAGGTAAAAGGTCTTCAGTCTGCGGATCGTATCTGCAGGCATTTGTAGCAGAAGAGGTGGACTAAAAGTCTGCAGTCTGCAAGAATAAGACTATTTGCAGACTGCTAAAATAAACTGATTTTTTAAACTTAAAAGAGTTTTGCAATACTGAAATTTAAATAATTTTAGTTTTATAATACTGAAATTTAAATAATCCATACAACTACAATAATAATTTTTTTAAAATAAATAAATCTATATTTTAAAATAAATCAATCCATATTTTAAAATAAAATTTTCCATATTTTAAAATAAATCAATCTATATTTTGAAATAAAATTTTCTATATTTTAAAATAAATCAATCCATATTTTAAAATAAAATTTTTCATATTTTAAAATAAATCAAATCATATTTCAAAATAAATCAATCCATATTTTAAAATAATTTTTTTCATATTTTAAAATAAATCAATCCATATTTTAAAATAAATCAATCCACATTTTAAAATAAATTAATCCATATTTTTCCCGCAGACCTTTGAAGACATAAAAATATGTCTGCACCAAGAAGAACTCGTGCAGACGTTAGAATAGCTCATGTATTCTAAAAAACAAACGGTCTGCGAAGCCCAATGTCTGCGCGTGGTCTGCGCGGCGTAGACATAAGAGCTTTGCAGACCTTAAACAGTAAAAACAAACACCACCATAGTGTCGAAACTCACCAACTAGGCTTCAGGTTTTCATCAGGTGGAACAGAGAGTAATATTGTTAATGGAATCCAGGGGTGTAAAACAGACTTATTTGGACGAGTGTTTCAATGGGCAAGAGACCCAAAATGTTAATTTGGTTCAAGCAGTCGACCCTTTCAAAACCCCCAAGAGGTCCATGTCCATTGGCCTTTTACTTGTGTGAATAGAGCTTCCTTCAACAAATGGGATGCTTACCTTTTGCTTAAATTTAAAAGAAAATTCAAATCCACAACATAAACACCATTCATTTGTTTACTTCATCCACCCAATTTCTAACCAAAATACATAAACGAAGAAGAAACATGTCACCGTGTAGCATTTATTTATCAAGGAGATGTATTAAAGGTTTAAGTTTATACTTTTAATAAACTCAAATCAATAACCATATTCATACTTTTAATTGTATTAATTTGATATCTAAAATCATTGAATTAATATGTTTTATCATCGAACTCATTAAATTGTATTAATTTCGATCCATGACCAATAAAAAGCGTCATTAACTATTACAATACTGATATAGCAATTCACAATACTAATGTGGTAATTCATTTTTAAATGATGATATGACAAAGGAAATTAATTGATTTTTTGACCGAGTTTAATGACATAATTGATTTTTATAAAAAAAAAAATTAAAGACTGAAAAGTCTTCGATTGTTTCTTGTCAGCTTGAGTCTTTACTATGCGCTTTAGTTAAAATCGTATATCCCAACTCTAAATCACCCGTCTCACAAATTTTTCTTTCAAAAATATAATACGCTATCAATATCAAACGCAAAATCATTTGTTGAACTTTATTCTTATTTTGTAACACCTCAATAACTGACCGGGATGATCTGATCCAAATAATGAATATCCTATTAGACATTAGAATAACTCAAATGTAGATTTACAGTTTAGGAAGTTTTTGAAAAATTGTAACACCCACAACCCGTACCCGACCCAGATACGAATATGAAGTGTTATATTTGACTTTTCAAAACTTGACTCTTATAACAATCATGAAAATCTAAACTTTCATTAAATAAAATGCGTTAATTTACATAATTTCGACCCTAAATAATACAAAATCGATAAGAACATTCGTAATTCACAACTTGTTTACATGCCAACACACTTAATATAACAAAATACATACTTTATAAATTACTTCTGATCTGATCTACTAGTAAAGGTATGTTGTCTCTGCACCTCCTAATTCTGGTCCTCCTGCTTCTTGATATCTACGTGTAGGGGTGCACAAAAAATCCGAATATCCGATTTTACGAAAAAAATATCAGAAACCGATTTTGGAAAAAACCGATTTTTTTTAACCGGATCGGATTTTTTTAAACCGGTTATTTTAACCAGTTTGGAGAAAAAAACCTAGACCGGTTTTTTTACCGGATAAAAAACCGGTTTTTATCCGGAAAAAAAACCGGTCTGGGTTTAAAAAACTAGCCGTTAATATAGCCGTTGGGGGGGTTTTGTGACCGTTTTTGACCGTTTTTTTCTTTAAAAAATTACCATTTTACCACCCTAAACATGTATAAATAGGTTGGGGATGTATTTGGTTGATTACAAATTCCTTAAATCTTATTACACAACACTTAAACACCTCTCAAATCTTATTTTTGTAATTTTTTGTTCATCATGAGTAACACGGCTGAATCTTCCGTCAGAGGAAACCTTGAAGTCGTGAGAGTGATCGAACACACTCGAAACAAAGACATTTGGGATCACTACGATTTATGTGAGATGTCAAATGGCTCGAGGAGGGCGCGTTGTAAACTTTGTCTAAAGTTTCTTGCATCGGAAGGAAACACAACGTTGAAGAACCATTTGACAAAATCATGCAAGGCACTTCGCTCAAGATCGGATCCTAGTCAATCGAATCTTACACCGCAAGGTGGTGTTTTTGTTTACGACAACGAAAAATTACGAGAAGCGTTTACAAAGTTCGTGATTACAAAAGCATTGCCGTTCGACCACTTTGATGATGAAGATTTCACGACAACAATTCAACAACTAATGCAACCACGTTATACTCAAGTAAGTCGTACTACCCTTAGAAGAGATGCTATAAAAATGTGGCGTACGACGAGGGAAAAAATGATTTTAGGATTCCAAGAACACCGTTATGGTGTGTCGCTTACATGTGACGTTTGGAGTTCCCCTCATAATACCAGAAATTCTTTTTTAGCCGTTACGTCACATTGGTTAGATCAAGATAATTGAAAAATGATGAAAAGAACAATCGCGTTTGAATTATTCGGTGAGCCGCATACCGGTGCTAATTTATTTACACTTTTAAAAAGGGTAATTTGTCTTTATAAATTAGAAAATAAAGTTTTTTCTATATCCTTTGATAATGCATCGAATAATACAAAGGCGGTTTCAAGATTAAAAATATTACTTTCACCGATTTTAGACGGTGCGTTTTTTCATACCCGTTGCGTTGCACACATAATTAATTTATCCGTGCAAGCCGGTTTGGAGGTTATTGAGCCGATTAGATTAGAATTCAAAACAATGATAAAATCGGTTCTTTGTAACAACAACAAAAGACTAAATGATTATAACGATTTTGTAAGTCCGTTAATAAAAAGCTTTGGGTCCTAATTTGGATTGTCCAACTCGTTGGAACTCAACTTGGATGATGATGCATACTGCCTTAAGGCAAAGGGAAACATTGCAAACATTTCACGATCGGCTTTTCGAGAGGGGTCATGTCCCAAACATTTATCCGGATTCGAGTTGGGAAACTATAGCCAAAATAACCGATTTGCTTGAGGTTTTTAAAAATGCAACAACTTTTTTATCCGGTGTTTATTACCCTACTAGCCCGTTGGTTCTTAATCAAATATTTTTGTTGGCTACCCGACTAAATGACTTTGAATTTGAAACCGAAGTTTTCAAGAATTGGCTTTGCAATGAAGGAAAAACTTTTAAAATATTTTAAGGAGATTCCCCCCATTTTTACTTGTGCCGCCGCTTTAAACCCAACGTTAAATGTTGGTGTGGTTGAAACACTAATTGAACAAATTGCGTTTGCTTTTAATCTAACCGATGATGAACCC